TCTTAACAACCACAACCACAATAATTTGCTTAAGTTCGCTTATCCGTATTTAATGAATGCCCAACATTCTAAGCGACTTCATGATTTCTATGAGTTTCATTAAGGATAAATCAAGAATTAATCGATACTTTAAACTGAGTATGGGTGGACGAACGAAAATTCAACATGAAACTTTTTCAAAAACAAAACGTAGGGGGAATGCAAAAATGATAAATGATATCTCATTTAAATCCTAGATCTCATACTTAGAGTTTAAAACGTTAAGATATTCAAAACTTAAATATCTTTTTTTTTTTTTTTTTGTCAACAACTTTATTAGATTAGCTTATACAAGCCAATTTTGGGGGATATTGTTTACATAGGTAATCAAAACTTAAATATCTATTTTCTAAATTAATTAAGTGGTTTAAAACAATCTCAAAATTCAATTTTAGCTAGTTTTCAATCCGACCAGAGGTGCATTTTAGGCTCACGAGCGTGTTTACGTCATTACACACAAGTATGGAGTTGGTATACTATATTTAACCACACGTATGAAATGCAAATAAAAAAAAGAGTATTTAGTAGGATGTTTTAGGCTTTTTTTGTTTGTTCCATTTTATTAAATTTTCTCAAATTTCTATGCTTAATTTATATTAACTTAATAGTTTATGATTATTTAAATTGTATAATATTTTTTCTATTGGTTGAATTTTTGTAAATAAGAAAACATTTCTTATTTTTTTATCTTTGTATTTTTAACCAAAACATCTTATAAAATAGAATAAAGAAGATTATTTTAGCTATTACATGGAAATTTATAAGCAAGTTAAGCCTATACCAAACATTCCCTTTGTCGTCATGGGAAAACATCAACAAGAACTTTGACCATAAATATACTTGAGATTTAATTGATCGGTTTATTTGAAACATGTGAGTAGTTTTTTCACATGAAGTTAACATAATCGTTACAATTTACATATTTTAAAAAACTATATACATATATATTATGAATTCGATCGTTCAGTAGCATATAAATTTTAAAAAGTTAATCAATTTAAACAAACTACCTCAAAATGTATAAGACCACTCAATAATGTATATACACACCGCTATCAATTTTCCTTTTTAAAAAAAAGATAAATAATTACTTTGTATTTAGATTTCAAAATATGGATTGAAGTACATTTGGCATGTACATGCATTTTTGGATGTATATATGATTCTATAGAACATATAGGTCCAAAACGTTGTTAAGGAGAAAAAGAGATACATATAGCTAGGAAAAGGAGGAAAGACTAAGGCAGTTGAACAGAAAGTTAGGTGAATATTGTTGGCCTCAATATTATACCCTTTTACTCATTCTTCTTCTTTCTTCCCTACAAATATCCTTATAACATTTCTTCTCCTCTTCTCCTTCTCCCTCTTATGCAAACATATATTTTTATAAATACAAATACATATACTAAGAGAGAGATCTAGATAGAGAGTGAAAGCTTCATAATCAATGGAAGGGGTTGACAATACAAACCCGATGTTAACCCTAGAAGAAGGCGAAAACAACAATCCTTTTTCTTCCTTTGATGACAAAACCTTAATGATGATGGCTCCTTCATTAATGTTTTCCGGAGATGTAGGTTCATCTTCTTCTTCTTGTTCTCTATCAAGTTTTCATCTATCTGCTCAGCTGGAGAATTTTCGAGGAGGTGGAGGAGATATGGGAGGATTAGTGAGTAATAATAGCAATAATAGTGATCATAATAAGAATTGCAACAAAGGAAAAGGGAAGAAAACTTCGGCAATGCAGAGGATAGCTTTTCATACAAGGAGTGATGATGATGTTCTTGATGATGGTTATCGTTGGCGAAAGTACGGTCAGAAATCTGTCAAGAACAATGCTCATCCCAGGTTCTTCTTTTACTTTGTTAAATTATACATTTATTGCAGTGATTAAAAATATATATGACATCGTTGAAGTAGATATCGAAATTGACCTAAGCATATATATATTTAACATACACAGACACACACTCTTGGTCACGTGTATATTTTGGAAACATTAGTTTAACAACCTAAACGACCAAAGTCATCAATTTGAGTTAGTCCGGTTGCATTACGTTAACGTTATTGCTTCTGTCTTCGAATTGGGGGTGTTTATTTTGTATGGTTTATCCAAACTGCTCCCTGAATTATACAATGCAAAATATAGTTGGTATATATAACCAAAAATAAACCGGGCCTTGGGGCCTAGTGGTAAAGGGGTCACAACTGTGACTTCCGCCACCAGAGTTCGAGGCACGGCCACTGGCAGGTTTACATAGGGGAATTGTCAGCCTCGTGGGATTAGTCTTTGGGCCTAGGAAGCCTTTAGAAGACTCGCGGTTATTCAAAAAAAATATATATATATATATATAACCAAAAATATTTTGTTAAGTAAAATTTTTATACCCCATAATTGGATCAATATATCATATTTTCAACCAAAAGAAGAACAAGTTAATTGGGCCTTTCTATGTCGTTGTTGCTAGGAAACGATAAACATTGTTGTTGTAGGTCATATTTTGTTGATGGAATGTTGTACGCTTGACTGTTGTTGCTATGTCAACATATTTTGGTGACAGATCATTGATTCCAAATATCTAAAACTTTTAGCCGGGTGAAATCATATCGATGAATCCGTGATAGTAAAACGAACATGGTATGGTTGTTGCCGTTCGTCCAGCCTAAGTATATGTACAGTTAATTGGATAATGTTTTTGCAGAACCAAACTAATTAACCCAAACTTTACTTTGAAAATTAGTTTTAAAAATTCAAAATGCATGTACTTATCAATACCTGAAATGACGAGCTCTATAATCTGAAATTATTACCAATTATATATACCTCGTGATCAATATGAACTTTGTTCCATAAGATTAAGTAATACACAAAAAACTTAACATCGATAACATAATATATATATATATATATATATATATATATACGGTAGCTTAATTCTCTTATATATATCACCTGTGGATCAATATATAATTCATTTGTTTATGCAAAATAATAATTGCAGGAGCTATTACAGATGTACATACCACACATGCAACGTGAAGAAACAAGTGCAGAGATTGGCAAAAGATCCAAACGTCGTTGTAACAACCTACGAAGGTGTTCATAATCATCCTTGTGAGAAGCTCATGGAGACTCTTAGTCCTCTCCTTAGGCAACTTCAGTTCCTCTCCAGAGTTTCTGATCTGTGATTATTGAATGTTAATTGGTGGTGTAATTAATTAATTATGCTTTAATCTCTCCATTGACCCCCAATCTCCCAAGAGATAAATGTATAGAACAAATCTCAGATCATAGATGCTTTATGTTTATCAAGATGATTCGTGATTGCTTTTGATTTGTCTAATTGTCTCCTTGTTGTGAATTGTTTGTTTAGTTTTAGGTGAACGATCACATTTAGGCATTTACTGGACCAGTTTTGAATTTAGAAAATGTTTGGGGTGTCCTTATAGGATACCAAAAGCTTCTTTATTTTTTTTGGTTGACAAGAGCCGCGGTCTGACTAAAACATGTCTCGCAAAAAATGAACCGTCGTCAAGTAAAGCAATAACATGTTTGATTAGACCGGTCCAACTAATTATAGAGCTATTGAACAAATATCCTTTGCCAAATCATTACAACATTACCGCTTTTGTGACTTCAACAAGCCTTCCACAGACCCATTCCAAAGACATGGTAATACTCTTCCATTATGTGATGAATTTGATAGGTCAGCTAGATATGAAACTTGGGACGATTTCGCAGTCAATTAATCATTAATTTACAAATTCGTTTTTAATTATTTTGCCTAAAACAAACGAATCATAAATACAATGATACCCTACTTTTTTTTTTTTTTTTTTGTCATCAGAAATTAATTAGAGCTCAAAAGAGCCATTCCTGAGGAATGTTGTTTACATAAGTGATATGAAGCGGTTCTGTACGAACTTTTCGTGCCAGATTGTCCGCCTTAACATTAGCCCTACGAGAAATTAAAGATAAAGAAAAAGATGAAAACTCCTCCTTGTCGCTCTGAAATTCTTCCAAATACATTGAAAACGCTGGCCATTCGGTTGGAGAAGACACCATCTTCACCAGGTCTGAACAGTCTGTAAAGAACGCTACCTCTTGATTATCTGCACCAATCATATACTTCATCGCCCAAAGAAGGGCCTCGACTTCGGCATGTAGTGGAGATTGACTTATACGGAGGTTCGCAGCTCTCATGGTTGGCGGCTCTCCATTTGACGATGTACAAAACCAGCCTGTACCGAAACAATGATACTCTACTTAACACATAAAATTCGCAACATCTAAACAAATCAAGTTAAGATTCCACATCAACAATTCAAACGAGAAAAATAATCATTCACCAATCATTTGCTTTTTTAATTGGTGAATGATTATTTATGAAAATAAAACAATCAAAATCTACATCAAATCTCTTTTCTTCACATATTATTCCGCACCAATCATATTATTGTACTTTTATCACATGAAATGCCATTGAAAATTGTCACATATATTAAATTATGATGTGATAAAATTTTCTTTCAAACTTATTGAGAATCTTCCTTCTTTTTTTTCTTCCCATTTTTTTACCTTTCTTTTGTTTTGAATTAAATGTTTCAGAGATTTCTTTCCTCACTTTTAGTAACCAACATTTATTGCTGTAACATACTACTCCCTCCGTTTTAAATTAGTTGTCGTTTAAGGTTTTTTTCACGCTTATTAAGAAAACATTCAATTTTCTTGTTTTACCCCTAATTAATGTATTGTTTTATGTAATATTATTACTTAATAAGCTAAGAGAGTAGGGGTAAAATTGAAAAATCTGTCAAAAATATGCATTGAAAACCTAAAACGACAACTAATTTGAAACAAAATTCAACTTCTAAAACGATAACTAATTTAAAACGGAGGGAGTATTAAATTATTACTGTTTTAATAAAATAAAACAGAATTACTGTTTTTCAATTGTAACATTGAGCGGATGAAAGGTCAAGACAAATAGATAGAGGAGCGTAATCGTGGAGATCAAATTTAGGGTTTTGACCAAAGATGGAGCAACAAGAAGAGAAGAGACTGGAAGTCTACAAAAGAAGAAGAGGACAATCTTCATCAATGTCAAAACCATATTCTTCATTTCCTCTTGATCTAGCCTCGGAGATACTCTTAAAGCTGCCTGCAAAATCTATCGTGAGATCTCGTTGCATATCAAAGCTCTGGTCATCAATCACCACAGATCCATATTTCATCAAGTCATTCGAAACTCGGTCCTTGTCAAAGCCAAGTCTTCTACTATTCTTCAAAAGAATGGACAAGTTGTGTGTTTTCTCATTTCCACAACACCATCAGAACTCGAACGAGCGGTATGGTAATGATTCTTCTCCTCAGCCTTTGGATATTTACCAAATGAAATGCCCTAAATATTTTTGCTTCTCATTCATGGAATCTGTCCACGGCTTGATCTGCTTTAGAAAATTAGCAACACCCATAATTTGGAACCCTACCATGAGACAGTTTTTAACATTGACCAAACCCGACAAGACCTGGAGAAGTATAGGATACGATCCAATCGAGGGTAAACACAAAGTTGTATGCTTGCCTGGTGATAAAATCTGGGAAGACTGTCGGGTTTTAACATTGGGATCAGGTCAAGAACAATGGAGAAGCATCAAAACCAGCCTTGACCATCATCCTTATACTGATAGTTATGGGAGATGTATCAATGGGGTTCTGTATTATAAAGCCGGTATTGATAATCTGTCAGGACAGTCACAAGCGGTTATAATGAGTTTTGATGTCAGATCTGAAAAGTTCCATGCAATAACATTACCAGTGGATACTATTAGGGGGTTGCTGATAGCTTATGAGGGAAGATTAGCTTTAGTTCATAGTGATTACGTGAACAATGGTATTACATTTGGGTTTTGGAGGATGCTGAGAAACACAAGTGGTCGGATAAATCTTTTCCGGTACCTTTCAGTCACACTGATCCAGTTTTGAAAGCGAAATTCAAACTAAGTGGTATCACTGATGCTGGTGAGTTTATTTATCTACCATCCACGTTTCTTAGATCGTTTTACATTAAATATTATGATCCGAAGAGAAACAGCTTCAGAACGGTAGAATTTAAAGGAGTCGCGGATCGCGAATTTAGGCACAAGAGTGGACTTGGAAACCGTCGTGTTTATGCCCTCCAGACTTTCCCAAATCACATGGACAATCTCATTTCTCTTTGTAACACTTGAAACATTTTCTTTTGTTTTTTTCCCTTAGTTTATGCAATTTTATGATTTTTATCTTTTTATTTGTAAACTGCAAGCTTTCTCATTATGTTATCATTCATTGATTTGACGTTATCTTGTCGTTTTCATTACCAAGTTCTTTTGCTCAAAGGGAAACAATTACAAACACATGAATGCAAAAGCATACCTTCTTTCTGATGATCAGATGAATAGTAGCTTTTACTGACTAACTAGTACTAAAATATGGAGGTGAACATTGACGTAACGACCTACGAAGAAGGTGTTCACAATATCATCCTTTTGAGAAGCTCATAAAGGCTTTTAGTCCTCTCCTTAGACAACTTCAATTCCTTAGCCAGAGTTTCTGATCCATACATTAAATGGTATTTAGTGGTGTATACTTAATTAAATATAGTTTAATCACTCCATTGACCCCCATGCATCTCCCAAAAGAGAGAAATGTATAGAATCAAATCTGAGATCATAGATGCTTTATGTTTATTGAGATGGTTTTTGTTTGCTTTTGATTTGTCTAATTGTCTCCTCCTTGTGTTAGTGTTTGTTTAGTTTTAGGTAAACGATCACGTTTAGTCATTCACACTGGGGAAGTATTATAATTTAAAATGTATATGGTCTTTTCTTTCTCTGACAGTGACAGGTGCCGGTCTAACCACAAATTTTCTGGCTGAACAATTTTGATTCGACCCAGTCCAACGTGAAGGAATATTTTTGTCCAGAAGTTTAAGTGTCACCAATTCAAAATTATAATATTTGTGCTTTGACTTCAGTTACAAAATATCAGACCATGAAACATATATAGTGATGATGACTGAATAGAATACTGAAACTAAAACTCAACGAAATAAAAAAAAGTGATAACCGAATCTAGATTAAAGTCGATTAAAGTTTTAACCAAAGTAAACCGAAACGTAACGAACCATACCTCGAGAGCCTAAGAAGAATTAGAAGGATCAAAAATCTGACCAACGAACAAAACGGTTCCGGTTTTGTCTTCTCTAATCATGAAAAGAAATGGATGATCAGCAACAAAATCTATCCTCTTAACAAAAGAACATCCAAAGCCTCCAACAACAGGAGTTGCGGCAATAGCTTCAGCACCTTCTTCATCAATCTCAACACAAGATTTTTGGTACAAAGCCATTTCATCCAATCCTAATCTATTGAAAGCCCTTGAAGCCGAGAATCCGAATTCGATCTTAAACTTTGGGATTCTAAATTCACCAACCTTAACTTTTTGACTCGGAATATGACTATCCAAGAAACCAAGACTTGATGCCATTTTCTCCACAAGTTTATCCAAACCATCTTTCTCATCAGGGAGATAGAAATGCATAGAGAAACTTCGACTGGTATCATCACCTTGTCGAAATGGGAGCTTTAGGACCTTGAAATCATCATAAGCCTCCATGTATTGGTCCTTATAGCTGCTCATGAAAGGCACATAAACTAAGGTTCCATTGAGAAGGTGAAAGTCGCGGTCTTTTGTCATTGATTTGTGGAATTTGTCTTCCCAAGCTCCCTTGAAGTACAATGCGTTTCCATAAATTCAGATGGTTTCGCTTGTAACGGATCCTTGAGGAAGAAGATCTTTGATGAGACCATTGGTGTGATGTGAAGTCCATTTATTCACCTCCATACTCACTTCTTCAGCCTTCAAGAAAAAAAAAAAACAATTCATCACCAAAAACAAAAGCTATATCAATTTTTTTTTCCCTAAATAAAAGTTACAAACAGAGCAAACAGAGTATTAGTACCTTTGATTTGAAATCCACTGAAGCCAAAACAGCTTTGAAAAAAATCTCGAAGAGATTCTTAGAAGACGAATCAATCGAGAAAGATTGATCGATCCAGGCGCCATTCGCCACTTTGATTGTTGGGCCGCCTATATTACTATCGTCAGCAAAGACTACAGTAGTAATGACGCGGAAGACGGAGTTGAGCTCATCGATAGAAGAAGATCTAAGGAAGGAGAGGATTTGATCGGAAATCGAAGAACTGCCGGGACCAGAAGCCATCATGGTGAACGCTGCGTTGATTGACGCCGGCGAGAAAACGTTGTTAGAGTGTTTGGCTACAGTAGAGAAGAGATGCCACGAAAGGATCATCGCGACTTCGTTTTGCTTCTTCATAGCTTCTTTCACGTCCATGGCTGACTTTGACTTGCAACGAAAGCGATAAGAGAGATATGCAACTTCGTGACGATGATAATAATGATGACTCATCGCTCACGTGTGTATTTGTAGTAAAAGTATGAACTTCACAATGACGCTACTCTTTGAAATCTTCAAAATGACGCTACTATGTTTTTTTTATGTAGTCAAAATAACGCTACCTTGTTTTTCTTTTGTGGTCGTAGTAAATTATGGAAAATAAAAATATAGAAAACATAAGGAAATAGTTTCCGTGAGAAGCAAGCAACACAAAGATGTTCTCTCCGTTCAACAATGGTAACACTGTTTGTCTCATACCAACTCCATGCAAATTAGACAAAAGTGAATTTTAAACCAGAAAAATAGAATCATTTTTAAACAAATTAGTAAGTTAATAACTAAAATGAACATGATTTATATTGTTTAATAATTTAGATATGTGAATTACAAAATGTGACAATTTGAACTACAGCTAGAACCAATTTGAACAATCTCGGTTTTAACTGAAATAAAGTTATACAGAACCTGTGAATTTTGCCAAAACACATTAGCCAAACCTAAGTAGACTAATCTTCCATTCCACCAAACCATAACCCGCTTAATAGTCATCTGAGTCCGAATAATTAGCTCCCGAACAAGATTCCGAAGGATTAAAGATTTGACCAACAAAACGGTTCCAGTTTTTTCTTCTCGAATCAAGAAAAGAAATGGATGATCAGCCACAAAATCTATCTTCTTAGGAGGCTCCTCGAACTCAAGAGCACAACCTTGACCCTCATCAGCAGTAGCAGCCGCAGCTTCAGCACCTTCTTCATCAATCTCGACACAAGCTTTATGGTACATTGACATTGAACGCAGTCCCAATCGATCCAAAATGCTTGTAACAGAAAAACTGAATTCGATCTTAAACTTTGGAATTCTAAATTCCTCAAGTGCATCTCTGTATGTCGGAATGTGACTATCCAAGAATCCACGTGTAGATACCATTTTCTCCACAAGATTATCCAATCCATCTTTCTTGTCCGGAAGATAGAAATACATTGAGAATTTACGATTAGTATCATCGCTGCCTCGTCGGTAAGGGAGCCTGAGGACCTTGAAACCGTCATAAGCTCTTACGTATTGGTTCTCATAGCTGGTCATGAATGGCACAGAGACTGTAGTGCCATTGACAAGGTGGAAGTCTCTGTCTTTTGTATAGAACTTTTCAAATGGTCTCTTCCAAGCTCCCTTGAAATACAATGCGTTTGCGTAAATCTTGTCGGTTAGGCTTGTCACGGATCCATCAGGAAGAAGATTCTTGATGAGATTATTGGTGTGATGTTCAACCCATGAATTCACCTCTATACGCACTTCTTCAGCCTTAAGAAAAAAAAAACCAATTCATTCATCACCAAAACGCTATGTATATCAGCAAATTCATTTTTGTTAACAACTATTCAAAACTACTTTTAGAAATTCAAATTTCTCACACGCAATTTTGTCTAATTTTGAATTTGAAGACAGCCTCATAATTTGAAATTGAAATTGAGGTTTTGAAGCAATATGAAACAAGAACTATTGGGTTCGAGTCCGTGTGTATGTTCTTCAATTGAAACAGCTCTTACACACTTCATATAGGGAAATCAAATCACGTCTTTTCGAAACCCTAGTTTTATGATATTTCAGCCAAACCCTAGATTTTTTTTTTTTCTGATAAAAGAGACATTAAAGAAAATTTACCTTTGATTTGAAATCTACTGGAACGTAAACAGCCTTGAAGAAGTTCTCCAATAGATCCTTGAACTTGGGATCAGTGGGAAGTGATTTATCAATCCAGAGGCCATTCGCCGCCGTTATCTTTGGGCCACCGCTGCCGCTGCTGTCGGCGTAGACAACGGAGGCTAGTTCTCGGAAGACGGTTTTGAGCTCATCGATTGAAGAAGATCTGAGTAAGTAGAGGAATTGACCGGAGACTACATCACCGCCGGGACCAGCGGCGTGCATGGTGATCGCTGAGTTTATTGACGCCGGTGAGAAGATGATGTTAGAGTCTTTCGGCGCGGAAGTTAAGAAGTGCCGGGAAAGGATCATCGCGACTTCGGTTTGGTTCTTCATAGCTGCTCTTACATCCATTTTTGATCTATAACGATTAACGAAAAAGAAATTTTCACGTTTAACATGAAAAAACGATTTGATCTCACCCTTTGGCAAAGTGAGATTCAATTCTCATGTTTTGACAGTTATTCCATTTTATGACGAAAATGCCCCTGACGAAAAACCAAACGGCATAGTTACGTTACGGTTTAGTTTCATATCGCGGTTTAGTTACTTTTTGTTTTGAATTAAAAAAAAAAAAAAAAATTCAAGAAAACGAAGAAGAACATTCATCATCTTCGTTCGACATCTCCGAGAGATTCGAGAGAGAAGTAGAAATCAGTTCGGAATTCATTCATCCATCTTCGTTTTCGACATCTCCGTTCGAATTGTCTGCTACTTGATTTGAGGCATTGCATTGAACTCGAAAAACCGGCGAAGAGAAAGTTCCAGTTTTTCCGGCGAAGGCGACCTGAGAAACATCCGGCGAGATACCAACCTTCGAGATGGCTGGGAATAAACCAAACGACGTAGTCTCTAGGAAGAAGCATACGCAGGAAGGCCCCGAGAAGGACAAGGTGGAACTCAGAGTATCCCCGAGGAGGAAACTCCCTCCGAGAAATCCGCCGGAGGAATTGGGTAAGTTCCGATATTATTCCGTTTGTAGTTTCTTTGGGTGTATCGGAATCTTAAAGCTTGTTTGATTAAAGGGATATAAGTTGCCGGATTTTGCTATATCTGTAGTTTGAAAATTTGAGAAGTTGAATTGGAAATCTCTGTTTCCGCCAAAATTCAGATGTTGAGTATATAATGATGATAATTACTGTGTACGTACACGAATTCATACATCCTTACTTAATTGTATATCACTTGTAATTGCAGGCAGTACAAGCGTGGCTCCGACTGAAGATCTTATAGTTGAAGAGTTACCACCTAGACTCTTTGCCCTAGACCGGTACCCTGTCAAGACGAAGATGAACGCGTACTCCAAACCGGAGTAACTTTCTGACATAGCACAAGTTCTTAAGGGAAAAGAGGAGATGAAGTTTCTTCTCGAGTCTCCATTTGGGGACCTTTTTAGGATACCTGCTAACAAGTCTTCCTTCTCAGGTAAACTTGTTCTTGGACTAATATGTCGTCAGTTAGTGACGAGTAAAGTGAATGAGATGTGGATGGTCTTCGGCGGTCATCCAATAAAATTCGGATTAAGAGAATTTAGTCTGGTAACTGGTCTAGAATGTGGGACATATCCCAACAAGAAAGACGTGACGGATGTGCTAAAGGTTAAAGCTGGTAGTCAAAGTGTCTAGAAAACTCTGTTTGAGGAGAAGTTTGGGGAGAAGCCGAATCCAACAGTGCATGATTTGGTGGTCTGGCTGAAGGAGGAGGAAACCATGGATGGGTGGAAGCAGCTGGCCTTATCTCTTATAATCTTGGTAGATGGTGTGATAGGGTGCCATAATAACCCCATAAGGCCTTCTGAGTTCACTGTTGAGATGACGAAGGACGTGCAATTCTTTTGCAAATACCCTTGGGGAAGGGTGTCTTTTACCCGTACTTTGGAGAGGATAGCAAAATTCCAAACCCCTTCAGATGCTCAAAAACTGATAAGGTGTGTAAAGGATGGGTCTTATGCACTACATGGATTCCCATTAGCACTCCAGCTGTTTGCGTTCGAAACAATCCCATCCCTTGCTAAGCTAGTACCTGATGATGAAGCTAACAGGACATTTACTCAGAGGTCTATCCATCATCTTGCCTCACTGCGGGCAATCAGGACATCCAGCATCTTGGAGTGTGAGGCTGCTGAAGAGGTATGTACAATTGTTTATGTACGTACATTATTTAAAAAGTAAGTGTACATTCTCTAAGTGGTTAACAAACTTATTGGTGTAGGTTGAGGTAACCTATCTTGTGAAACCAGAGGACAATATTTGTCCTCCATCCCTGTCATGGGATGATGAAGTTGAGGATCCAAGAGTTGCTTACATTGAGCGACTGTTGTTAGCTGGTCATGAGTGGAAGGAGGAAGAATGGGTTGGAGGTAATGCTGCATTTCCAAAGCAGGAGCGCCCACCACAACTTGGAGAGATACGTGAGTGTAAATGTTGTTTTTATACTTTCTGATTATTGTCCCTTGAAGACCAATCAATGATTAAACTGGTCTATCGTAGGTGTGAAGAAGAGGAAAAGAAATGTACCAGCCCCGAATGCACCTGCTTTGAAAAAACAGAAATCTGTTGTGGAAGAAGAAAATGAGGACACTGCTGAGGATTGTTCTGAAGATCCCCAGTTTGAGAAGTTTGTAGTTGAACTTAGGAGGTGTTTCAAGAGGCAGGAAGCACAAAATAAACAAATGCAAGAAGACTTGAAGAAATTTGTCCGTAAGGAGATTCGTGCTGCCTTAGATCCAAAGGTCAAAAAGACAGAACCAACCAAAACTTCCCATGCTTCACAGGGCCCAAATAAATCGGTGGTTAAGGCACCGATGAGTGTGATGAAGGCATCTAAAAAGATGTCTACAAAGAAAGTCTTCAAGTCTAGAACAAGAAAGTCTTCAAGGCTGAAGAATATAATGACGTCAGTTGCTGAGATTACTCAGCTTTCTGATGGTAACTCTTCCTCTGAGGAAGATGACCAGGTATGGCATGTACGTACATTTATATATAGTATTTTAAATGTACGTACATGAAGATTAATAACTGTAACTTGTCTGCTATGGTACAGGATGAAGCCAACAATGAAGGTGGTTTTTCTGTAAATGATGGAGGAGATTTTTCGAACAGAGACGAAGGTATGGTTGACACTGGAGTAGCTAACATTTCAGTTGGTGGACCTACACCTTCCCATCAGGTATGTCGTGTACAAATATTTTTTTCAATTATTTCCAGTTGTGTATGTACACATAGGCTTCAGAAGTGTATGGTATACTATGTTTCAGGATGAAGGAGCACGTGATGGTGGTGAGTCTGTCCTTGTTGGTACACAGTCAGGGACCGAGGAAAAAGCTAGTGCTGACACAGAGATGGAAGAAATTCCATCTCCTGTACCTTCAACCTCTGTACAGGTATGTCTTGTGCTAATAGTCACATACTGTTTTCCATAAGTGTATGCGTATCAATTATTTTCAGTTCTCCACGTACATATAGCTTAAGAAGTGTATGGTATACTATGTTTTAGGATAAAGGACCAATTGATGGTGGTGAGCCTGTCGTAGTTGGTACACAGCGAGGGACAGATGAAAAACCAACTGCTGACACAGAGATGGTAGAAAATCCATCAGGTTTACCTGCAACATCTGGACAGGTATATGGTCTGCTAATAGTCAAATGTAGTTTTCCATATGTGTACTCACATAAAGCTTAAGACGTGTATGGTATATTTGTTTCAGGGAGAAGAACATGGTGCCGGTCTTGAGAGTGAAGCAAATGTTGGGGAGCAACCAGAAATTTCTGAGGATAATGATAGAGATACATCTTCTCAGGCTGAACACACCGAGGAACCCGGTGTAAGTGTACGTACATTTGTCTTTCTTATTTCCCGTGTACGTATAAGTAATGATTGTTTCAGACATCACAAAATAGAGGATATAGCCGATGAAGTTGATAACTACTGCCACAGGTTGATGCGGGAGATGTACCCAATGTAGTTGCAGAGAGTAAAGTGGATGACTCAGTACTTGAGGGCACCCTAGGGGATCCCCCTTCACCATTTGCAGTAGTTAAGAATGTAAGCTAACTATATTTTTAAATAAAATAGTGTAGGCTTGTTTAAATTTATAATCTTCTATTCTGCAGGTGTTACAGGAGTTGGCAACGAAAGCCTCCATGGATGTGGATGCAGCTAATGTAAAGGAGGTAAAAATCTCGTGTTTGGTTTAAAATTATACACAGTTATTAACATACGTACATAGGATTGTATGCGTACATTTAAATAATTCTGCACGTTAATTTGAAAAGGGAGTGTTGGAGCAGCAGGGGATTGTCGACGGGGTGGAAGAACAAGAGGATTCAAACCCAGGGTTAGATGAAGCAGACACGACAGTTGGTACACTAGAAAATATTGTGATTATCTTCCCAGTAAATATTATCATTACATTTTGAAATTGTTTAACCATGCTGTTTACAATAATACTTCTTTACAGGATGAACCAAACAACGATGCTGCAGTCAAAGCAATAGCAGTTAAAATTCCTACGCCGGTTGTACCCAAAAAAGTGAAGAAGCAAATAATTGTTGAGATGGATGAAGCCCTTCCGGAAGGTTTTAAGGAAACAACAGTCCTCGTGGAGGATGTTCCTGGACGAGCTGAAGATTCAGAGGTGGTTATAGCGGCTGGAAATGTCCCTTACAACCCCTTGGAGAAGGTTGATGCTTCCAAATTAGAGCTCTTAACCAATGTCCTCCGCGGTCCGAATGTGTAAGTATCGTGCATTATCAAAATTATCCCTTAATTGATACATTGGTTTTCTATAACAACCAGACATACTATAATATTGGATATACAGGAAGCACACTCTTTTCGGGTATCGCAAAGTGGACAACGAGTTTTTCTCCATGCTTATAGCAGAAGGACAGTGGGTGGATAATATGGTAAGTTGAAATAGTACATTTGTGTACATTTTTTAAATATGCCTGAATTGTACGTACACTGACTGCCTATGCTATTTTCATTTCAGGTCTTGGAAATGCTCGCAATCTTGATGTGGCACAAGAACGGTCAACAAATGATAGCAAACCGATGCGTTGTTTTGGACTCCTTCCTGCTTTATGAGCTTACTAAGCGTGCTGTCAGCTTCAGGAATTGTATAAATAAGCTTGGGTTCAAATGGGGGGACCGGCTATACGACATGGCCAATGGAATACACATACACCGTGAACCTAGTCTTAGGTGGTTCAAGGATGTCGACGTGGTATATGCTCCGATGAACTGGAAAGGTGATCATTGGGTTGGGTTGGCAATCCACCTCAGAGCCCGGAATATAGTTGTCTATGACGCTCTCATAGAACACACGCGGGAGTCTGTTGCATGGTCAAAGA